TCTACAGCCCAATTCACACATAGTCATCTCAGGCCAGTAAAATACATTGGTAAAGAGGGTTTCTTCTGCATTAGTCTGAGGAAGGCATCCCACAATGATTTATCTCCCCCTATCACTGAGAGAAAGGTAAGAACCATGTGACAGATTTTCAAGTATTCTATTGGCTCAGGATTCTCCTTGCCATTTCTGTCTGTGGCTACACTCCAGCAAAAGATAAAAGTGGAAACTTTCCCAGTTGGAGTCATAAGGAGGACACAAAGCCATGAAAATGAATGCTAAGACAATGATCGCTTTTGAAAGGATAAATGACTAGTGCCACTCAGGTAAAAAACGAACTGGAGGACACAGAGAGCGGTTGCTGCAAAACTAAGTCAGTTGCTACAAAAATGTCTGTGTATAAATCCAATAAAAAGTAAGGGCACAGTTGGGATGCCTTGCTCAGTAGTTATGCTCCATTCTTTAGGCTGGTGTGAGAAAGGTATCCCACAACTGGATACATTAAAGCTAACTATCAATTTGTGTGGGTATAAGATTTATCTACAAATTGTATCTACTGTGCTGTTACCTCCTCTGGAGTGTCCTCCTGATAAAGGAGATACCAACAGAAGCATAGGTGTTGATTTCATTTAAGTCTATTGATTTAAAAAATGGATTTTTCCAAAATGGCCATGCTGGCTGCTAAGCTAGTTGAGTGTGCTGTGACACAAAGACAACAGAGAGGCGTCTTCCCGCACAGCCCTAAAATATGCATGCTCTTAACCATTGCCTAATGTGGATCTGGGTACTTTTTGCCTATAAATGTTGGCTGAAAGTGAATAATGAATCACTGCCTAAAGGACTGGGTAGGTTTAAGGTAGCTCTTTACTGCCCTGTATTCAATTTGTGTCAGTCCCTCACATGCAGGTTGAGAGATTAGGACAAGAATTAGGATCAGCTGCTGAAACCTGTGAAACAAGGTACTAGTTTCCAAAATGAACACAGGACCCATCCTGTGTCTTTTTCAAAGTTAGTAGCTTCTTTACTTAACCCAATAGCTGATATCTCTCCTATTCTATGTGCATAAGTAATGGCTACCAGGAATAAGATTTTTTGAGGCAATATTCTGATACAGATTTAAATGCTTCAAAATGAGATTTTAATAAGAGGATCAAATGTAGGCTCCACAATAGGAACCCATGAATTGTGGGAAGGCTTATCAGAGATACTTCTCAAAGAATCTTAATGGAAGACATCTTGGTTTTGTTAGAAATGAAGAGATAGCTAGTATCTTGTCTGTGCATGGTGCTGGGTTTTAAGTCCCAGCTGAAGCCTGCTTGGAGAAGGAAGTTTTCTGATGCCTGCTGTTATCTATTTATCTTGGTTGTTGTAAGAGGACCCACCTCCCTCAAAGCTGGTGTTACTTTGCATGATTCCTAGAATGGTGAGTCCCTCTGAAATTTTGAGAAACCTTGTTATCAAGGAAGTGAAGGTCTGAGTTGGTGAGTAACTTGAATTATCTGACATTCCTTCTTGATGATCTGAGTCTAGAAAGGCAGGAATAGCCACTGTAAGGGCCACGAATGCAGTTTAGCTCATGAAATGATGGCAAGGTAGGAGATTGTTAGGGCTCATATGTCTGGCAGATCCATTAAGTCTACACTGTGCTGATGTTGAAATTTCATGATTCAGCTTGTGGTTTGAGCACACTGAAGAAAGGCACAGGTGACCCTTTGCAGTATCAAGTATGGCTCTGAAGTGGAACAGAGATGGTGTTGGTGTAAGTTGGCTTTTTCCTGTACTGATGGAGACAGACGGCTGTTAGGAGAAGATCCAGTAAAGCTTTTTTGGCTGGAGAAGGCCTTAAAAAGCAGGTCATCCAGTATGAGTAAATCCCTTTGAGATACAGGTGAGCCACCAGGAATATCATGGTCTTGATAAAGACATGGGTTAGTGGGATGGCCCAAAGGGCATGGTGGTATATTGAAAGGGCTGGTACTGCTGGGTGAAGTACAATGTATATGATGTGAGGAGATTGGAGTACGGAGATGGGCTTTGGTGATGTAACCCAATGTAAGAAATTGTCCTTTGTGAAGGGCTTCTCTGATCATCTGAAAAGCTTATGTACTAAAATACCTGTACTTGACAAGTCAATTGAGGGATCTGGGATCCAGTATGGTCTGTCATTCTGATCTTTTTTTAGAAACTATGAGAAGACTGAGTAAGAGCCATTGCCTTTTTCATGGGGTGCAGCCTGTTTTAAAGCTCCTATCTGAGGTTAATTTCATAACATTTCTGAATTTTTACATATTTTGCCAGGGAAGTAACAGAACAATTGATGAGGTGGATTTTTCCACAATTTAATATGGTTGCCCTTGCTGATGGTATGTAAGATCCAGCAGCCTAATGCTGATTGTCGCTGGACTGAAGGGAAACACCAGAGTTGTCTTTCCACCTTGCGACTGCTGACATCTGGTTTTGGCTGACTGGAAGAAAGGATATCGTTTAGCAGAGAAACTAGATGCTTCTCTAGAAGTCTTTTCTAGCAGAAAAGACCTATCCTCCTATTCTCTCTCCTGAGAGGAGAGGGCATGACCTATTTCTCATCTTTGGTTTCTGTGTGGATGCTTTTTCTCCAAATAGTTGTGCTCCTGTGAAGGGCACTGTGGTGTGAAATTGTCCACACGTAGTATCTACATCCCAGTGCTCAACAATAAGATGGGACAATAAATCCTATTAGTGGCTGGAACAGGCCATGCATTAAACAGATGTGTGGCATCTGCTAAAAAGGCAAAATATTTTGAAACCTCAAGTAATCATCTATACAACATAGAGTGATTCAAGCCTTAACTGTTCAGAATATCCTCCATGCATAGTAAAGAAGCTCTAGTGAAGTATTAAAACACTGTTGGTGCCTGCATGGCTAAGGCTGATGGCTTTGTTACCTTATCTTAATGCTATATGAGGCCCTCTTTCCCCTGGTCTTTAATGGGAACATCTTCATCTTCTGGTAGGACTGCCCATGATGAGAGTACTGCCACAGAAGCATCTGTAAATAATGTTTTACGTTGTTCCATGAGATCCTGTGGAAGTATGTAAAAAAAATCTGTGCTGCTTTAGATTTGATTTCCATTCCTCTCTTGGAGGAAAGGGTGCCTCTCTGTTGGTTTGCTGAAGTTCTGGGAACACTGGAGCTCCTCTGGATTGCTGTTGTTTTTTTCTCTGGTTCTGCTGATTGAATGGCTAAGGAAGCAGTTCCTTTGGACAATAAAACAATTATCCTGATCCATTCAGCTGTAACCCAGACTGGGTTTTGGCATGGAAACAGCTTTGGTTGCCCTTGTTTGATGAGTTATACCAGGGAGTGTGATCCTGCTTATATTCCTGACTTCTTGGCAAATTTCAATACTATCAACTTGGGTATCTTTCTTGGCTGACTGTCTAAAGCTTGGAAGGTGGCAATGAAAGACAGCCTTCTTAGTAATAGGCCCCTGAATATGAAACAATTCTGTCATTCTTTTGGCTCAAGGTTAAGACAACTGAGGCACTTTAATACATTATTTAATGGACTGATGGGAGCACCCAGGTCTGGTATTTTAACAGTTTTACTATATTACATATTATTTTAGTCATATTTTACATGTTATATTCTAGAATAATTTTATTTTTATTGTATTATGATCCTGTTGTAGGAATTGCTATAAACCACCCAGAGAGCTTCAGCTACCGGGCAGTACAGAAATAAAACGAAATGAATTTTTAAAAAGTAAATTATACGAAATCTCTATTGAAAAACCTGTCAAATGCTATGTCCTCTATTGAATAAAAATGATTACATTCAATGCACAATCTCTATTTTTAAAATTGTCTAATGCATGTCCTCTATTGTTTCTATATCTAACCATTTTCATGCACTCTAATTCCCTTGATCATACCACCCTCATAGCTGGATTGGACCTTTCTTGATGGTATGAGATGGCAAGCTGCCATTGGACCTTTCTTGATGGTATGAGATGGCAAGCTGCCTATCAAAGGGGAAAACATCTCAGGTGTTATCAGCAAAAATGCTCTTCTTGAAGGAGACAAGGATATGCATGCTCTTGGTTTTCTGACTATCTTTACATGAATTAACCCCTTTGTGATTGATTGCAGTCTTGGAGTTTGACTTCTTCACCAGGGAATTTACAATAAAGGTGTAAAAGAAGCAGGAGAAGAAACAGAAACCAAGAGAAGTTTGGACTTTTTTGTTTAAAGGAGAAGTTGGGGAAGCTTTTATATCTGGAAGAATATAGAATAGTTAGAAGTTGCATGTTTAAGCAGGATAAAGGAGAAATGGCTCTTCCTGGGTGAAAAACAGGGATGACTGACAAGGAAGAATTTGCGACCAATAGAGTACATGGTCCCTGCTTTTCCCTGGGTGGGGTGGGAGTTAACCCCTTGTGGGACATATTCCTCATATCAACCTGCAGAATTGAGGTTATCTGCCAACAAATCACATGCCTTCATCATTTTTCCAAGATCTGAGTAGAATCAAAGAGGCAACATTTACAAGATAACTAGTAGAGGATAAACTTCCTGGTGTGCTAATGATGGCAGTCGAAGAAGAACTGAGCTCTCAGTGGAAGCCTCCTCCTGCATGCTGGGCTTGTCCAGAGGCTCAGTTCCCACCAAAGAATAATCAATCAGGTTTGGAATCTTCCTGAAACAGCTCCATGCATGTGTGCAGAGCCTATATGTGTTATGTACAGAGACCGCAGAAAAATAAAGAAGACACCCTGCTTCCTGAGCACAGTGGCGAACAGAAGTAAAATCGTGCTCAATTCTAATTCAAGAATTCTCAATTCTTGTTAAATGTGTAACATAAGGATTAATTCCAAGATACATAAGACTGCCAGAATTCATAGAAAAAGGGTATTTATTTCTTTTTAAAATAAGACTGATCAAAATTAAAGCTACCCAAATGGACAGAAAATATGTATTGCAGTGTTAGGTCAAACAATTTGCTACAAGAGAAATACTTTTACCTTTTTGTTCCTTAACATAGCTTTCTTTGCAGTTGTGCATAAGCTGCAGGATCCATTTATGCTGGGCACCAATGCACTGCCAAGCTGGATCCCCTTCTGCATGGAGGTCAGAAAGGTATCTGTAGAATTCAGATAAGGAAGAAATGAGACTCGGATGTGGCACGTACCACACATGACCTTCTCTCCTGCTCAAAGCCCCCCAAAAGGAGGTTACCAGAATCCTGAAACAAATGTATCTAAATACTTAAGTATCAGTGAACCATTAACACAGCATCTCTTTGTCTACTCAAAAGTAAGTCTCCATGACTTCAATGAGGCTTTCTCCTAGGTAAGCAGGAAAATAACAGCCATTCCAGGGATAAACGATACATTTATTACTGCACAAAATTTCAAGGACTGAAGGACACCACTATTCATCAGATTCCTTTGGTGTTTTATCCTACTAAAAGTGTAAATTATCTAACAAAATCCACGATACTTGTATTATCAGCAATTGCTTTGTAAACAGCACTTTTAATACATTTTATGCTGACTATACTTTATTTGATTAATTTCTAACATCAGTGTTCATTAACTCCAAACATATGTGCAGCTATAGCTACAGTTCAAGGCAGCACTGTATATGATAACACGGGCCAATAGCAAATTATGACTGGTAGTGTTATGCATGTCTGCTCAAAAATAAGCCTCACCAACTTCAATGGGGTTTACTATTCAGATAAGCAGGTGTAGGATCACTGCCTAATGGAACAGTCTGTGTTATAGGTTTCTGTGTAACACAGATCCAGTTCTCAAGTGGAACAGAAAGGCAGCTGATCTCAGTATATGGAAAGCAAAGTTACAAATGCAAGCCTTCAGTAATTTCAAGAAGTATTATTCACATAAAGATTCCTGATAGGAAAAAAAAAATCCTTCGCTAGTGGGTGGGGAGGGTTCAATGTAGAAATATAGCTTGAACTTATGTTTCTGATAATGCAAATAATTTGAAAAATGAGAAAATTGCCTAATGATGATGATGTCAAAGGCTTATGATGATTCAACTTCATTTTTACCTCCAATGTGCTACTGTATGTGCTACTTTTATGTTTTACATCATGTACTTTTTAATGGGTTTGCACTAGTACCACTATGCTATTTATCAAGGCTATAGCCATCTATTCAGTAGAACAGGTAGCTGCAAACTATTATTTTATTTTTATATTTCTATCCTGCCATTCTTCAGTAAATCCAAAGTTGCCGTGCTTTGGGTTCCAAGACATCCTTCATCCGTACACTTATCAGGCTTATACTTTCAAAGTTCCTTCAGATCCTGTGACCAACATTAATTACAAATTCACAATAATATTAAAAAATAAAACCCTCTATCAATTCATTTTGGGAGGGTACTTATATATCACCTATATCACTGAAAAGCAAACTAAATTGCTTTTGAGCTCATTAAGAACCTACAAAATATATGTTTGATCAGGGGTTTGACCTAATACAAGTAAGAGGATATTGTTAAGCCAGCACACATTTCTTTAACTTTAAAATGTTATCTTTCAATGAAAAGCTGAAAAGGCAAGGTAAATGAATTTATCCAATTCCTTATAAAGAGTGATGAAGAAAATTTATTATTATAAAATATACTTCTAAAACTGTGCAGAGCCTTGGGGTGGAGCTCCTCCCAATCTATGCTCTGCCCTGCTGCTTCCTTCCCTTTCACTCAGTGGTGCTGCCTCTTCATTTTCCCCATGCCTCTTGGGAGGAGCAGGAGGAGCCACTAAAACATCCTTTAAGCCGTTGGATGAGCTCCAGGTGCTTAAGCAAGCTGAGCTGTTAGAAACTGAGTTTGGCAAAGGAACATTGGTCATTATCCATGCTCACAGTCTGAGACTGGGGGTAAAGGGTACACAGGACCTCATTCAGAAGCTTACCTGAATCACACTGAGGTGTATGACGGAAAAGCAGGCAAACGTCTTGACACCACATTCATAACATAGTTTGACCTTCTCCAACCTGCTGCTCTCCAGATGTTTTTGGACTTCAATTTCTATCATATACAGTCAGCATGCCTAAAGGTCAGAAATGCTGGACAGCTGAAGCCCAAAACTTCTGGAGGGTACCAGGCTGAGGACGGCTGATACAAACTGTGATGTGACTATCAATAGGTAAGTAGAACCAAATGAACCAAATATTTCACCTGAGGGAGAAAAAATGCACAGTTCTGGCATCTATGCATGTATGAAGTTATGCAAACCCAATCAGCCTTTTTTAAGGAAGAGTGTGTTACAAGAATCTTTTCTTGTCCATCATATTTAAAATAGGCATAGAAACCTTCCCTTGCCTCCTAAAGCATATAAGCCTAGCTCTTAAAGATCTGTAAGCCTAGATCTTTATTCCTGTAAAAATGTGGGGAATTAAATCTTGTAGAAGATTCCTGGTATAATCTAGGAAAGTGATAGTTTTGCCTAGATGATAAGATAATCACCTGGTTCACACATAAGGGAGTTCCATAGCCTCACTGCCTTCCAGAAACAAGTGCCTATGCTCCTTTCAGTTTGCTGTGACAGCACTGTTGTGCAAGCAGTGGGGTGTGCTTGTGCAATACAAAGGACAGGGTGACAAGGGTCAGCATGGTGTAAGCATCCCACTGATTTTGCCCCATGACACCAATGAGCCTGGCATTAAAAGAATGCACCATATAAATGAAACTGCTTGGAATCCAAGCCTCACCTACTCATTGTAGCTTAAGTTATACCTTGAAATTGGAACCAGTTTCAATTCTCAGGAACTGAATTAGATATAAGACTTTTTCAAACTTACTTAAACTACTAAATGTTATTTAGCCAATGGTAAGGCTGTGGTGCATGGCCAAAATTTTGTATACCCAACCTCTTCTTCGGAGATGCCATGGATGTGAACAACCCACCTGTAACCTTAGGACAGATGTCACACTTGATGGCTTCACATGACATGACAACCCACAATCAGAAATTGGATGCACAAAATGGCACCTGCATGCACCACAGCCTCACCGCATGCTGGCTGTCATGTTATAGGAACTGCCCAGCATGTGAGCTGGCACTAGGGCTGATGGAGAAGAAAGAATCAGCAAAATCCACCTCACTCCTTCCTCCAGTGGGGTGCCTCCACTGGACTGCGGTTCCTTCCACGAGCAGAAGGTGGAAGGAACAGCAGTTCATTTGTGTAAGAGTAGTTCTGGATATACAGGGATTTTGCCATTACTTCCCAATGTTGTAAGAGTATTATCAAAGAAATAATCGTGCCACATAAACGAAGAAAAGACATACAAGGGTCACCTTATATAACGTTTTTGGTCATGCAAAGTTGATGGAGTCTCAAGTAGTTTATTCAGAAGCAGTTCTCTTAATGCTTCAACACGTGTTTCTACTTCAGCGTAATCTATGGTTAAATAAAGAGCAAATTATCTTAGCATAAAATCACAGGAATTTAAACTGTAGCATGCTAAAGTTTAGTCTATTTTAACCATATGAAACTACAGGATATTATACCACTATCACTTGATAAACTTCTTTTCTCCTCAATTATATTTGATAGTTCTCCGTCTTCCTGTCTAGTCTTGTCTAGTCTTCATTGGAAAATTAATCTGGAATAGCTCCACTTTATTAAATTAAAAGACTGACTGATGTTATCATTAATTTCATCTCATTCTATTCCAGTGTTAAAAGTAACAATTTATTTACAGGTCTAGAAATAGGGTACTATGAAGAACATAAAATATATTTAATAAAGAGCAATACAAAAAGAGATATAGAAAAATTATACCAAGATTCAGAACCTCTTCCTGCATAATTTAGCCTTTCAAGTTTAGCCTTGAAATATTTTTATTCAATAATTCTACAAAACTGCGGACTACATTTCTTGAACAAGTACGCCCAAAGAAGACACCCCATAACTCAATCTGTATCATGACACATAATGCAAAAAAGACAGTTATGCACAGTGTAAACTAGTGTAAATTTCTGTGATAGAAATCTTTGCATAGACATTAAGTAAATATTCTGAAAGTTGCAAAATATTCAGCATAAAGCAGAAGGCAAGATGAACACAGGACCCATCAGTTTGCTCTGTACAGTTAATTTTCCCCTAAAACAGTTGATTAATCAAATTAAAAGCTCACATTTTTTGAAGACTTGAACTTCAGTCTTCCCAAATAACGACTTTGCTTTTTCATAGTCATTAATCACAACATCATAATCTCCCTTAAAAAAACAACACAAAGAAAATTCAACTTAAGAAATGCACTGCTATTTGGAGATAGCAAGTATACCACATTTTAAAGTATCAAATACCTTTTGAATGTTTCTTTCAATATTCAAAGGAAGATTGAAAAGAAACTTGAAGCGCTGGAGAACATTGAGAGCATTTCGTGTTGAATCTGCCTTGTCTTTGCGACCCAAAACTTCCTGAAACAAGGTATCTGCAGTATTACTGGCTCCTTAAAAAAATAAAAAGGGAACAAGCATGCAAATAAGGTGCATATGATGCAGAGCAGAGTACTTAATTTAATCAACAGATTTGTCATGGTTATTATAGTGATTAATTACAGCGATGCTAACACAAATATCACAGAAACTCTTTTTTAACAAATGTTCTGAAAGTAATATTTTGTAAGTGTTGATCACTTAGCATTTTAATCTAGCGGAAACCACAGTACAGTTTAAGCAAGTTTTGTTCCTAAACCAAATGTTTTAACATCACTGTGGGGACTTCAGAGTTTGCTTTGGCTACAGCTATACAGTTTACATTTTCAGCTATACCTTATAGGCAATTTGATCATTACTTAACTATTCATTTTACTATGACAGAATACAATGAAATAAACATTAATTTCATTACTATTGATAATCACATAATTCAGGATTCACTCTTCCATCAGAAGAGAAATAGGTAACTGGAGATTACAGGAAAATGTACATAAAGGGTATCCCTATTCCTTTCCGTTAAATGATACACTTTAAGACTTTTATCAAAGTGAGGTCACTACCCTAAGTACCAATTAGAATCCATAATCTAATCTGTTTCCATAATTGTGAGCTATGTTGACTAGTTTTAGCAGATCCAGAGTCAGGAACATAAAGTCTATTATAAGTGACTGAGAGTGTCTGTATTACACTATTTACATTAGGAGGGCATGTTCAAACTTTCACTTGTAACATTAATAAGTATTTGATATTCATACTGCTGTATATTATATTAAAATGTTATCCCAGAATGAACAAGAAAAAACTCTTTACCTCTTTCCTCATAATAGGGATCTATTAGACTGCAAATATTTTTCTTTAAAAAGAAACAAAAAAAACCTTATATTTAATCTACCAGAAAAAGGTGAATGTTTTAGTTCTTTTGATGATTGCCTGTTTAAAAAAAACTTTCTACATTATCTGGTCTAGTGACTATAATTTAAGCAAAGATGAAAAAATTACATCAGTCTCACTGGGTGGCTTGCATGCCATTTTCTCTCGTCAACACTGTGGGTGGCCTGCTCATGTTAAAAGTAGCCTTTGTAAAATAATTGTTATATCTAAATAATGTTTAAACACTGTTGAAGTTTCAAACCCTGATGCAAGAAACTTTGTTTTGTCAGGAGAATTTATACTACTATATTCTATGGTTGTTAAAAGTACCCCCCCAAACACACAACTACCTGGTGTCCCAAAGTTGATATTGCTAAATTTTTATCTTCTGAAAATATTATAAAATGCCTGCTGAATATTTCATGTTTTAAATGGTTAAGGAATACAAGTGTTTCAAGGAAAATATGTTCTGTGTTCCAATAATAAAATATGGTCAAATAGAAGGATAAGCTACCTAACAAGTTCTTTTAAATGTGTTTGCTTAAATAAAGAAGCTACCTAAGCTTGTTCATCTACTGTTTAAAAACAGTTCTAAACTAAAGAGAAAAAGTATTTATTGCTAGCTCAAATGAAATTGTTCAGTTTCATTGGCTTAAAAACTTAGTTTTAAAACATGAAATCAAAATAAACTGGAAGCTTCAAAATCATTAGCATATTAAAAATAAGCCTTCTTCCAGTTAACAACGTGTGAAAAGCTCTTTTCTACTGAGAACTTGCTGGTAAAAAAAATCTGTTACAATTAATAGTTTCTTACTTCTGGTTAGAGAAAATGATGCCTATTCTGGTCAAATGGTCAGGAATTTGACAAGAAATAAGTATTTTAACAAACCTACTTTTAAACATTTTATATATACAGCTAATATTTTAAGCCAAGCAAAAATTTCTTAATTTTTGAAAAAACCTTATTTAAAAAGGTCTGTTAGACCATTTCAGTTAACTGGATCTTGTCTCTGACTTCAGTGAACCCTTATAATTGCTGCATTTATTGTATTGTAAAGCTAAAATGCTTTGATTTTTTTTAGGAACTTCCTTTCCTAGATATCCTGATATTAAAGAACTGATATATTGCAAATTTTGGCAACACTTGCTTCCTCCCAGCCTTGCCTGTAGGGAAAAAAAATATAAGATTTTGTAGGGCCAAGGTAAAATCTTTTTGTGCACATCAGTGGTCAAAAGCAGCAGTGAGACCTAAATAAAAGCTTCTAGTTTAATCTCTCTCTCTCTCACCCACCCCATTCTGACATTAAAAAAAATAGTGGTGGGAGAGGAATACCTTCAGTCATCAATACTGATTCCACAGAATGTGCTCATATTATCAGAGCCAGTTATGTGGAGGTAGTTTTGTACTTCGTGGTACAGCTCCAAGAGAAACACCCCTTGGAAACACCCCTTACTTTCCATTGAAGAGAATAAGAATTTCAAAATGTTCTGATCATGCACATAAAGAGTATTTTTAATTGTTTCCCCTCACATCACTATGTATAATCTTTTGATGAGGAATTGATTGTAGTCGTTACATTATGATTGCAGAAACTCATTCCTATATATATATTTTTTTCCGAATGATTTCATGTCTCTTAAAGGAAACATGAAATTGAAAAATGTTTTCTAGGAATTCAAGCTATTTTGCAGTAACCCCCCAGCCAGGCACATATTTAGAAAATCACCTTCTGAATCTTAATTGTATAAATTAAATTTAATACTAAATTTAATTATAATTTAGCAATGGAATTATGATTTGGCTTCAAATGCTCAACTATGTTTTTTTCTAGTCAGCAATTCAAATATTTTCTTCTCATCTTAATTTATTATGCTTTTCCCTTTTTATTTTGCCTCCACTACCATATTGTATAAGTAAGAGGCTGTGTCACTTTAGAAACATAGAAACAAAGCGAGTCAGGACCCTCCTGGGCCATCTAGTCTGACCTCCAGCTCCAGCCAGCTCCCCTTTGGTTCATATGAATTTAGATATAACATGAAGTTGAATACCTTACCAATAATTGGAAGAGTGAAGCTGGCCACATTGCACAACATTTCATGGAAGGCACCAAGACCGTAGAGAATTTTCTCAACAGAAGAAAGAACGGGACATTGCCTCTAATGCTGATCTGAAGGGTGCCCCAGTACTAACTTAGCTTTTCAAAAACCAAAGGAGCTTCCAGGGGGAATGAAGAATGGAAAAGACTGTTTCATTCCTCCATGAAATAATTCTGCTAAATGCTAATCTGGTCCAACCAACTGGACAGGAATCCAAGATCTTACTGTTCAAGGGAAAGCCACTTCCAATCATGAGTCAGCATCTTCAAAAGCTGGTAGAAAGCATCAGTGCTACCTTTTAGGGAGTGTCAGGAATTATAGAATGGACAGGAGGAACTAACAACCCTGCCCTCTTGCAAATGCAGTTCTGCCACTTGCTTGTGTAGTAGGAGCAAGTCTCTTTTCAAATTTTAGTAGAGAGCCAGGAAACTTTTAAGTTACAGAGACAGTTAATTTTAATAGATAATAAGATCTGGTGACAGAAAGCAAAACAATTTGCTTTCAGTATATTGTTAGTCAAAAATTCCTGGGCTTCTATCCCACCATTTTCAGATACTGCATTTTATAGTACACAAATTCAAATTGGGTTCCTTTGATTAACTTTCAACTGAATTTGAAAATGGTCTTTTTCCAACTTGAATATGCAAATCCAATTACAATTCAATAGGTTTTTGTATCAGAAATGTTATTCTGAAAATATGTATACATATGAAAATATGTATTTTTTTTCCTTATGGCAGAGTGGCCCACTTATTTATTTATGGGGCGGGGGGCAGAGAAAAATTGTTTAATGTTATGTAGCTTAGACTTTGAACCAACAATAGTCCTTTAGCATATATTAAGTGTTATAAATACACCCAGGAGCAAAGTACTGAAAAGCACAGAAAAACTGCAACCTTTCTATTGGCTGAAAATGGATAATTATTCAAGACAAGCTCTGTCTGGAAACAGCTTAACAGTTATATATGGCATAGTAGAAACGGAACTGTTGATAACCTTTATTCTCCAAGACTAAATAGCTATCAGTCATGTGACATTTGAATAATATCAAATATTATTGATATTAAAAGAAAATTCATGTATTTGAAAGCATTTTTATGATCTATATTAAAAATTCTATATAATGGGAAATGTTGGATAACAATTTAGTATAACCCATTAAATTATGCTTCTAAAACCTGCACCATATCCATAAGTCAGCATATCACTATGTGTTAATTTTAATTAACCTAAGTTAACTTCATATTTTTAATCTTGCCAATTCTCTATTTAAAACTTAATGAATATCTATGAGACATTTTCCTTCCTCTCTTTCTGTTACAGCTACTGAAATTCTGCCATGGCTGAACTTGAAAATGATCAGGGAGGATCTGTCTTTGCCACACATCAAACTTCAAGAAATAGGCCTGAACTTGTTATAAAATCTGAGCTCTGTAAGTAGGTGATGTTAGGTGAACAAAACTTACTGTTCAGAACATTCTCTAGTTTTTGTGTCATGGATCCTTCCACTTTTTCTGTTCCATCTGCTTCCAGTTTTTGATGGATTGCTAGAATAAAATATCTTGTTAGATGCCATCTCTTTTAACAGGTGAGACTATTTGACTGAGCTATAGTCTTGTTAGACCTAAGCAGCACGTGTGATGCAAGAGATCTAGTGAAGCAGGCATTATGAAAGGAGCCAGATACTCAGACTTCTAAACTCTGCTCTGCAGCTAGCTTACATTATGATCTTCAGCAGTAAACTTGGAGCCATGAATCTACAGGAGACATAATTTCTTTAATCTTCTAATTAACACAAAAGTTCTATAGCATACATTTATCTTTACATAGCATAAAATAGGGTTTTTATACAATGACTAGAAATAATTGGACTCTCAAGATGCAAATACATTTTCAGCTAGTTTATGCCTGTATTATCATGCTGATACATAACTAATCTGAAAAGGTAAAGACAATTATTTGGCACTTTGGAATAAACCAAACCAAAATACAATTGTTCTCTCACTAACTTGCAACTTCCCCTTGTAATCTCTCTCAAACCACTTTTTTTGCTAGTGTGTTAAGGTCTGTAGTTCTCATACTCCTAAGCTGTCATTGTATTGTTTATTTAGAGGAATCTTCCTGTAAGATGCCAAGGCAGCTGCCAAACACATATACACGCATCTCTTGCTTCCATCTTTCTTTCCCTGTACCTACTGACCTTATTCTCCTTGCTCTGCTATTCTCTACTGTAGCCTGCACTACAGCAGATTTCAAGTGCAAGAGAGGATGGGAATTTTGGATATAACATGTGGCTTATGAACAACAAGCACACAGGACCCCTGGATATGGGTTAGCATAGGAAGTCACATGCTTTTGTAAGTTCCTATTGAAGCTGTAACATTGAAATACTTCCAGTTTCATAAATGTTGCTTGAGATTGGCTGTAGGATAACAATCAGTCAAGTCATTCCTACCAAAGACAGGAAATGTCCTTCATTCGCCAAGGGACAGGAAGCCTGTACTGCAGGACCATACTCTGTAACAGTCTTGTTGATGAAAATTAGAAATGAACTTATCACACAAGCCAAATATGCCAAGATAGATACTAACTCCTCTTGCACTGTGTTACACATGCCTATGAAAACTTGAATTAAAAGCAACTATCCATATCACTGTAATTTTTAATGCTTCAAAAAACTGGTTGTAGATATGAGAAATTTTAAAGAGGCTGACATAAAGTTGCATTAAACAACATTTACTGGAAGCAAGTGCAGTAGGAAGTGGTTGCTCTGTTGATCCAAAAAGATTAAAATCAGGTAAATAGTATCTTTGTACCTATCTGATCCAGTAAATCACCTAAGAAACTTTCTAACCTTAATCACCTTGCATGTTTATACACACATGCTAAAAGACACAGATGCTACTTCTGTTTTGTTTCTCACACAGCAGAAATGGAAAACTTCTGTAATCTCAGAAGCTATTCTGCTACTGGTCAGTCAGTGGTCCAAAGCAGGAAATGTATCTGGCCACACATGCTGACCTCTGCACAAACAGTCAGGTTTAATTATAAAGTCAGCTCCATCTAACAGCAACAAGCTTCAACAGTTACGGAACAAAGGGAATTATGTAAAATATTGCAAAGAAAGATAAAGCAATGAACTATTAAGTTCTTCTTCTTGCAACTTGAGAAAACTTTGTGATTGAAACTGTGATTAAAATCTTGACTGAAACTTGATTAAAATCTGATATGATTACCAAAGGCTAGGGGAAAAAAAAAAAGTTCTAGTGCTGGATCTGACTCCCAGCCCCCCACCATTAGCTTTCCAATTGAAATGAAGACATTTGAGAATCTGCAATTCTCCAGATTTAGTAAATTCAGCTGTAGAGTATTACCTCACTTCCCTACTTTGCCCCCCTTGCATTCACTGCTTACCCTTGCATAATCTCAAATAGACATTGGAAGACCCATATCATGCCACTTTTATGTAATTTCTAAAATACAAAGACTGCCAGTGTGAGTAAAAAGCAGAAAATAGTCATGTTTAATCCAATGTCCACCTTGCAAATGTTATGAGAGCGGTTTTTTTTAACTGAAAGGGTATCTGATAAGAATATTTAAGATAAAATAATAAATATTTTAGATGAATTTTAACATTAGTATTGTGACATTGATTTCATTTATGCAGACTTAATGCAAGGCAGTTATGTCCTCTGCTCTTTTTTATATTGCCAAAAATCTGGCCTTAAACACCAAAAATACCTTCAATATGACATTGCAGTATGCTTGCTTTCCAACTAAATATTAAAGGCAATTAAGAAATACTGGAGCACATTGACCATCTTTTATAAGTACATCTCTCATTTCTGAGATGTAGATCATACCCAGAAAAAAGCTATCATTTTAACAACTCAGTAATGAATATATATAGTCATTATAAGGATCCCTTTTCTAACTAGATTGCCACTTTCCACTGATCTCCTAGTACTGCTACCCATATAACTATACCTTTATTATTATTAACTCACACAAGAATCCTTTATAAAGTCTTTGAATTCAGAGATTTGGTACAAACCATGGTGAAGTTTTTAAGAAGATTTTGTGTACTTCTGACTTTTCTTTCATACTTTTGACACCTACCTGACAAAGCATCTTGTGCCTCAAAAAAGGTGCTAAGGCCTCCTTTGACATATTGCAGACTTCCCTCATTCTTCTTACTTGCTTGTTTCTTTAAATTCATTACAGCCATTTTAAGCTGATCAAAACTAAAACAAGAGAGGAATCCATAAAAATATGAAATCAGGTACTAAAGACATATCAACCAATCAATCACCATACCCACAAAATTAGAGGCTAGAATGACCTGTTGTCCTATCTTCAATCACCTGGAGAAAAGTTATCACTTGAAAATAGTCTCCAAGACAGCTACTGCATACTCATGCTGAAGAGAGATCTGGAGTATTTGTATGACATGGCAGAAGTTGTAAATTAAAGAGCTATTATGTGAGAACTGACTCCACCATATGAAAATGCTTCAAGTCTTTATGGAGCTAGATTAATCTAAACGTGTTTTTATAATTGAGCTTACCTTTCAGGTTCAGGTAAAAAACATGAAAAGGTAGAAGTGTTTAGAGAAACAAATCACCTAAAGAAAATTTTCAATAATACTTTATTTATATATTCATAAAAATGTTTGGTGCTACCTTACCTTAACTTCAAATTAAGAGCCAGTGTGGTACAGTGGTCTGAGTGCTTGACTAGGACTCTCAAGTTCTGGATTCTAGTCCTCACTCAGCCATGAAGCTCACTGGGTGATTTTGGACTAGTCAGCCTTACAAGGTTGTTGTTGAAATAAAATGGTGAGGAGAAGGAATATGTAAGCTGTCTTGAGCTCTTTACAAGAAAAAAGGCAGGGTATAAAATAAAAAATTAAGCAAGGAGTGCTACATGGATTATTTACATATTTTAAGATCACTGGTTATAAAAAAGTATTTGCAAAAAGTAGAAGAGATTCTATCCTTCCCTCTTTAACAGCGAAAGAAAGACAAACAGATTAACAAAACTGCCTATGGCTGCACAATACAGCCAACCAAAATGTCATTCATAAAGATCTTTCAACTCTTCATTACTGTTACGAGTCTAAAACAATAACTGGATCTTTGCCTTTTACATTTTTGGTTTTCTCTCCTTGTAATTTTTGTTTATTCTTGTCATAATGACAAATGTACTTGGTTCAGCAAACATACCAAGAGGAGGGATATTCAATTTAAATGAGCAAATATCCAACAATGAACTTCAACTATGAATTATAGCTACAGACTAGAGGACTGGATTCTATGAAATAAAAGAAACGTGCTATTTCAAATATATGGAACTATGAAATAGTGAATAAAATAGGAATTGTAAAATAGGAGACTGTAAAATGGGAAGGTTTCTTTCATATATACGTAAGTAGAGCCATGCTGGATCAGACCAATGATCTATCTACTCCAACTTCCTATTCACACAGTTGACAACCAGCTGTCCAAGCTCCCCAGCATTTCATGTATGCAGGTATACTGCTTCTGCTAGTGGAGGTAGCGTGCAATTATCAGGTCTACTAGCCACTGATAGCCCCCTCTTCCATGAATTCATCCAATCCTCTATAAATCCATCCAACTTGGTAGCTATCGCTACATCTCGTGGAAGAGAATCCCACAGTTTAACTATGCACTGTGTAAAGAACTACTACCTTTATTTGTCCTGAATCTCCTGCCAGTTACCTTCATGGGATGACCCTGGGCACTAGTACTATAGGAGAGCAAGAAAAATGTCACGCTTTCCACTTTCTCCACACCACATATATTTCTGTAGAACTCTATGTCACTTCTTACAAACCTTTCTTCTAAGCTAAACAATCTCCGCTATTGTACCCCTTTCCTTGCTCCAACTACTTGATCACTTTAGCTGCACTTTTTTCTTTTTTCTGTACCCTTTCAGCTCGATACAATCCTTTTTTGGGTATGGTGACCATAACTGCACATGTTATTCTAAGTGTGCTCACACCATATATTTGTATAAGGACAGCCTGACATTGACAGTTTTATATATATCACTGGCCTTTAAAGCATCTGACAAGTTTCCTTCTAAGATAAGAATATGCTAAAAATCATATTGTCTTTTTACTTGAAATTTCATCATTCATAATAAACATTTTCTTGCATTCTTCAATTTTCTATTAAATTCACATGATGGTTGATATTATGAATATGAAAATGAATTGTGAGCATAGAGTTGGATCCTGACAAAGTTAACTGAACTTAACCTGGTTTCCACTGAAATCAATGGCAAGAAGTTAATCATAGTTTAAGGCAAGTTCTACTGATATTAATGGAACTGAAATTCATTTAAATCTGGATTCAGCCCACAGGGTTTAACTTATGTCTCATTCATTTTAATGGGTCTACTTTCAGTAGAACTACAACCCAAATATATTAATTTATGGTGTACTATTGCTATAGATGAAAATTTATGCACAGCAACACCAATCAGATAAGCAAAACCCAAACTAAATTCTTGTCAGAAAATACACACAAGTCTATTGGTCCATGCAGCTTCAACTTTAAAAGACTGACTAACAGAAACTGGTATACTTTTAGTCCCATTTCTACAGGGCCAGCTCAGAGCTAAAGTGTGATCCACCATTAACAGGCTACAAATGTAAAAAAAAAAAAAAAAAAAAAATCTACAGTACTATCAGAATTAGGGTGCAATCTTAACCTTGCCACTGAATGGGCACAAATGCTTATGAGCTACTGACCTGCAGCCACTAATAGTCGCCACTACTAATAATACTTAAAGCATTAAGGCAAACTGCATTGTTGTTGAATGGTTCTCTAACCTTGTTGTTGAATGGTTCTCTATCAAATACCAAGCAGCAGAAAAGTTTTCACTTGTGAAATCAGCACTCATCCCAGGAAACAGAGCTTCCAGCTCCTTCTGTGGAAACTTTCCTCTGAAACAGTAAATAAGAAACTTTTACTGCAACAAAGATTACATGCTCTTGAGTATGCACATGTATGCACTCACACTCATGCACTGCTTGTCCTTCAGTAGAACATGCCAAACATGAAGGCTGCATCCCATATAAAAACTGTATCACTTGATATAGCTGCATTTGTACACAGTGAAAGCCTAGGAGGATAAATACGCAATGTTGAAGCAATAAATTTTCTGGGTTTCTTCAGTACACAAAAGCAAAAGCATAAAGCCTCCTATCAGTTCCCAAAGTGAACAGGGTCACTATGGAAGTTAAGAAAATACTGGTTTACCAGAGCAAGCCAAAGTCCATTCAGTTTAGTATTTGGTTTTGAAAAGCAGCCAACTAGGTGCTTCTGCATATTAACAAATAAGGCATGAAAACAGTCCAGTGGACATGCTTTAACAATAACATATGAATTGGGCTTATACTTTTCTCATGTTCCCATGACAGGTCTACTTTATCTTCCTATCATTTATCAAATGGGAATATTAATAGCTGATCTACATAGTGACAGGAATGCTAACAGTACCATAGAAATCATAATACATACAAAAATTATCTTTCCTAAAGTTTCTATGTTATAAAAGCAGTTCAGCAACAGAATAAAAGAAAATGACTATTTTATGTTGGATTAGATGTCCAGTTAATTAGCTGCATGATTTGATGGTGCTTAGGACGCACTGCAGAAGTGGCTGAGTTTAGAGCCTTAGATGTGGGCGAACTGCTATCCTGCTTCTCTATTGAGAATAGACTGTACGCAGGATCTAGAATGCACATTTCACAGGTGTTCCTACAGATAATATTTCCAGCCTCCTGATTATTGAAATCAGATCAGTGCCCCACCAACTGAAAGGTATGCCTCTGAACTGAAGACAGAAATGGCAAGGTTCAGTTTTATTCCGCCATTTCTTAAAAAACCAACAAATAATAATGGTGGCACAGCAACTAACAATGGAATAGCTGTGGAAATGTGAACCAAAGGGCATGTGTGAAAATTACATGTGCAGTAAATGTGCATGTGAGACAATACAGATTTTATTTCAAGGCTAAGTCATTTATGATTAAGTGCAAGACTGTATTCATACCTTTTACAATTATTTTTATTGATGTTTCACATTTGTGCAATTGCACTCTTCCAGTTTATGTAGCCTTGCCTGGATAATATCCTTGTCAGTTTCAGATTACAAATTACTAAAGACTAGCTGTGATACCTTGCAAAAATGGACTGTGATCATGCTGTAAAATAAGAATCAGCCCCAGTGTTCTGTGCTTGGATACAAAATGCATGCATTGGGTCAAGTCTAAAGGATTCCTTTAAAATTGCTTTTGTAAAGCAAAAGCTAAACAAATGCTGAATAATCGATTTCTATGCTTTGAATTTGTATACTATAAACACACACTTATCCTAAAATCAATTGAGAAATTAATGACAGGGTGACAGCTATAAGGCTTCTTTCATTCATATAACTCATATATATTTGATATATATAAATATATATATATATATCATATCATATATATAATTCATATATATTTGTATATATATTATACAAATAGCCCAAAGAGCGTAGTGCACCTTGTCAAAAGGATTGGATGACAAGCTGCACTATGAGAAATATGAGAAATATATATGAGAAATATGGCTCCATTCACATAAGACCATGAGAGGAATCATGCTGAATCAGACCAAGGGTCCATCTAGCCAACACCATGTTTACCAGTTGCCCACAGAAACATACAAGTAGGTCATCCTGCAACAGCATCCTCCTGCCCATCCACGTTCCCCAGTAATTGATGTACAGAGGTATACTGCCTCTGATACTGGAGGTAGCTTGAAGCCAGCAGGACCAGTAGCCACTGATAGCCTTACTGTCTATGAATATGTCCAGTCTCCTTTTAAAACTGTTAAAAGTTGATGGCCACCACTACATTTCATAGAAAGGAATCCCATAGTTTGACTACATGCTGTGTGATAAAGTATTTTATTCTATCTATCTGAATCCATCACCAATCAGCTTCATGGGATGAACCCAAGTTCTAGTATTATGAGAGAAGGAGTAAGATTTATCCCAGTCCACGATCTCCAAGCCATGCCAACTGTGCATCCCTCATTTCTTCCTAAGCTAAACAACTGTAACTGTTGTAACCTTCTTTCATAAAGAAGTTGTTGCAATTTTTTGCACATTTTTCAACTCTGCAGTAGTTTTTTTAGATGCAGTGATCAGAACTGTATACAATATGCCAACTGAGCTGGTATCCCAGATTTGTATGAGGCCAGTATGATATTGGCAGCTTTCTGGTCAATTCTCCTAATTATGTGAAATATGCAGTTTGACTTTTTCTCAGCAATTGCACACTGGGCTGACATTGTCATTCATTTCATTTCACTACTCTTTGACTCAGTTCCTCAAACTCCCTTTCTGAAAAGATCAGTTCAGGCACAAGTATCTGTCCCATTATCTTTTGCAGTGAATACAAATGGAAAGAATTCATTCCTCTTTTCTGCAATATCCTTATCCTCTTTAGTACTCACCTTAATTTCATTATCATCCAAAAACTCAACTGCCTCCTCACTGCTTTTCTGCTTTTATTTCAAGAATTCTTTATTATTGGCCTGAGCACTGAAAAAAATATATTTCTCAAAATGCTTTTTTGCATCACTTATTGTATGCTTTCATCTCCTTTGTTCAAGTTTGTGCTCCCATTTGTTTTCTTTACTTGGACAAGACTTCATTACTGGGATGAAGCTTCCTTTTTTAACAGCTTCTCTGATGCTCCTGGTTAACTATGCTGGCAATCTCCTGATGCTATCTTTACAAACTTGTGCATTTTAGAGTAGTTTCCTCCAAAGGCCAGGCTGTCGTGAGCAGTGACTATTTCAGGGAGAGAAGACCAAGCAGGATAAGGAGATTGCCTTTTCTGCCCTATCTGCCTGTGCTATGGAGTAGCCACTTGCCCCTGGCTGGAGAGGCAGCAACTGTGCTCCACAGGTGGGGCCATCTCCACCAGCTACTACTTCAGGAAGCAAAGACCAAGAAAAGGAAGACGACTGGCTGCCCTGGCCTTTGAAGTCAAATGTGACCATGTGACTAAATGTTCAGCTTCAGTATGTATTAACTTTGACAGCACTAAGGTTGCTGTTTTCAATACTGATCATTCAACAATGTTTACATCTCATACCAGGATATGGGCAATCCCACTTAGGGTTAAAGCCAGGGTTGCTTGCCCTATGGTTGGTATCACCTGTTCTAGGAACAGTAACTTAGGCATCGAGAAATTTAACCTCATTCTTGTGACTGCTTATCAATGTGGAAATAATTGAAGTGAGTCATTATCATAGTACTTGATCACCTGAAGGCCTTCTTGATTTCATTTTCTACTGAAAATCATCCTGAGCATTCTAGGTGGGGTAGGATAGCATGTTCATAATACTAAAATAATTTTGGCACTTGGTGTTGTCTTCTGTGGAAGAGTTTGCCTTTTCTGAGTGTCTTAAGTTGCCTCCTCTCTCTTGTTCTTCTATTATTATTAGTAGTAGTAGTATTGAACAACCAATTACTTCAATACTACCAAAAACAAACAAAAACAAAAAACTAACAACAACCCCTTTGGGTTGTTAGATATGAATGCAATCCTTCCCCCTATTAATTGTGCATGTCTCAGTGAAGTTTCTACCAGACTCGTCACCCCTTTGCAATACAAAAAGGCAATGGAGGGGAAAGAAAAGCAAACAATGGGAGAGGGCAACAGTCACTGACGTGGGGTGGCACATTTTTCATTTCTATATATTACTGTAAGCTAACAGTTTTTATTTATTCAAACTGCTTGTATTCTACTTGCTATGATAAGATCTCTAAGCAATTTACATAAAATACAATATAGAAATGCATGTAAAATAATACAAAATAATATATTCATTAAGGATCTCTCTAAATCTTTTCACTCTTCAGTTTCTCCTTCTAACCCTTTCACTCCAATTGTCTTTTATAATCCTTTCTCTTGACAGATTGCTTTGTCCAAACCTAGGCTGAATTCTTCTATTTCAAGTCCTAGTCCTTCCTTTCTTACTGTCCATCTTATTTGGGATGTAGTGTTCCCCATTCCTACCTTTCCTTTCTTATACGCATTTAAACTAAGAACATTTTTCCTCAAGTTTTTAATCTGTTTTCTGTCTCTTCTTCTCTCCCACCTTCCAATTATATTCCTTCTGTGTTTCTGACAATCTTGGCCTTTGAGATAGCATGTCTATGAGCAAAGTCTGCTATTTTTAACAATTATTGCACAACATCAAGTATTCAAGCTACTTATAAACAACTACTACCACCATGGTAATCATAAATGACTGCAATCACTATAGCAAATGGAAAAGCAAAGCACTTAAAGTGAAGAGAAGATATAGTCAACAATGGCGGAATACATTTACTGAAACTAGCAGTGACGCTGAAGTTAAAAATTGAGAGTTCAGAACATTAACTTTTCCACTTTGGAATGCTAACTGGGAGTTGAGCCCAAACCTCTCTGAAATTCAGACTCAGTTTACTGTTAGCTTGACTCCAGCCTGTGTATCAACTCTTCTGTCTAGCACAGTTGCTTCCTTCCCTTTTCTGCCAAAACCTGTCTAGTGGCAGCAGAGGCAAAGGGCTGCTGTTACAGTTTTCATTAGGCCCCTCAGCAGCCCTATGAGCATAAGATGCCGGTAAATGTAGTTCTCCAGGGCTTGTATGTTATGACTAAAGGATCCAAAGCCCTGGGCAACTATAGTTTGTGAGTCTCTGGTGCTCAGGGCACTGTGGGTGCACTATTTGGTGTTTAATATAGCTTTTAGCAATGATTTTCTTATGCCACAGGTTTGTAGGCATGGGAAGGGGCTGCAGGGGGAGGACTTGCATAAGGCATAGGGAGACTTAAGAACAAGTATTGTTCCTGATAATATTAATGGGAGCACAATAAGATATGAGCTCAGAACAGAACCA